GTAAAATTTAGGTTATTAATTGCTGGAAGCCTATTTTAGTCATGCAGGAAAATTTTAACCAATGTGGCTGAGAGTCCCTTGTTTGTCTGGGGGCTAATTTGGTCCCGAAGTACTGCAATTATATTACTGTAAATGGTAATGTAAAAATCAGTATTAAAAGTAGTAGCTTTCAATCATTTCATGTTCTTTACTGAAGTCATCCATTAAATTATTAAAAGGTAAGTGTGGGCTCTATTAAACATTTGTCATTGATAGATATCATCAAAATTTAATGAATGTGAATTTAAATATTTGTATTTTAAAGAAAAATCCAGCATCACCAATTATGGTTCTTGCCATATTTAGAGAATGATGATGGAGATGTAAAAATAATTTGTAAGTTGATACTTAATAATTTGCAAGTAATACCTTGTCACATATGTTCCTACCTGGACCCTAAGATCATCCTTTAAGATTCTTCCCAGGGACCCTCACAAAAAGTAGTATGTGTGGGGGTGACCAGAGGAAGGGCCTTTTCAGTAGTGGCACCCCGTCTTTGGAATATGCTCCCCAAAGAGGTACGCCTGGCACCATCTCTTTTCTTTTCAGTGTTGGGTGAAAACCTTTTTATTTACCAGGTATTTTAATAGTAGTTAGTTTTAATATTTTTCTTATCAATATTGCTCCTGTACCATGTATTAATTTGATTACAGTTGCTGTCGATTGTTGTGGATGATGTTGTTGTGTTGGTTTTATTGTTCATTGATTTATTGAAATATAGAGATTTTATGGCTTGTTTATACTCTTTTTAACTTTTCAACCGGGTATTTTACAGAGAGCCTTTGGGCTATGAGGCAGTATAGAAGTGAAATAACTTAGTTAACTCAGATATCAACAATAATAGCAATAATAATAATAGCAACAACAACAATAATATCACCTAATGTAGAAAAGGTGGTTCAGAGTGGTAGAATGAATAGCTAACTTGTTCACAGACTGAGCAACAATAAGTTAACAGAATGTAGATTTTAAGTTTTTAAAATAATATCATGGCTGGCTGAATTTCAAAAGCAACATTTGAAAGAAAAAACTTTTGTCACTTTTGATGCGCAAAACACAGTTTTTTGCTCTCTGTGGCACAAGGTGGGATTCCATTCCCCTGCAGCTCTCCTTTGTTTCAACAGGCCCTGCACAGGGAAGCCTCCAGGTGGGTTGTACTTCACTGTTTCAGGGCATCCCTGCAAGGGTACCCGACTTTTCACGGTCTCTCTTTTTCTTTGAATTACATCATGGCGCACTTATGGAACTGCTTCTCAACCACTATAATTATGCCTCTCTTTAAGGGGAAAGGGGTGTTCGGGCCATTAGTGTGTTCCATGTGGAGGAAGAATTTGCATGACTTTGATCACTACAGCATCTTCCTTGTTCTGCTTCCTGCAAACCAGGGTGTGTGTGTGTGTGTGTGTGCGCACATGCATGCATGTCCTAACTCGTTCCCTTTGTCCTAGGCAGCTCTGTAACCAGTAGAACACATTCCCCTCATAGAATCTTAGTCATACAATACATAAAATTACACATTGCAAGTGAAAAGTCAGGGCAGGGAAAGAACCAAGAATCAAGACACTAGAGGTCAAAATGTGGGCCACGATGTAGTATTACGAAGATCTGCAAAGGGGGAAACGAGTGCAGGTGATTTGCTGAACTGGCCTCAGCTGAGAGACACTCAGGATGAGGCATCCCCCCCCCCCCCCCCCCAGGACAGTCCCTGTGGAATTGCCACCTGCCCCCAGCGGCACCCCCTCCAAGAGCTGCACACTCCAGGTGGTGAGGCGAGTCAGCCGCGGGGGTGACCTGCACCTCCCCACAGGGTCCCAAAGCCCTGAGCAGGGACCCTCAGGGTGCAACCTGCTGCCCAAAATCCTATCCTGCCAAAATGTGACAGAGTTAACAAAAAGCATTTAAAAAACCGATTCAACAAGATCCACCCCGTTTATAGGGAAGAGTATGCCAAACATCCGCTTTGACCAAAGCCAGTCTGGACTCTTGAGCAAAAATTCCTGCTTGGCCCCAAATGGGCAAGAGCAAAGCCTTCAGTGCTCAGGGAGGGATCCCCCCCCCCAAAAAAAAAAGGCCAGGGGCTGAGTCCCAGGGCTAATATTGCCCGGGAAACCCAGTGCCTCAAACCAATACGGCAGCACATGTTGGGCAGGCGATCCATTCCCTCGACACTCCCTTGTAACCCACAACATTCTCCTTCCTCCTAGCTATGAAGGAGCTGGGCAAGTGAAACCGCAGAATTCACTTCCACAAGAGGCAGAGATGGCCACCAATCAGGCTTTGACAGGGATTAGACCGATACCCACAGGAGAGCAGGAGGCTATCAGTAGCTACTCATCCTGATGGCTGCTTGCCTCTGGAATCAGGGGCAGGGTGCCTGTGGATGCCAGCTGCTGGGAGCTTGGGCAGGAGGGGCTGTTGCACTCAGATATTTAGGGCACAGTCTATAGACGCTCCCCCCGCAAAAAAAAAAAAAAAAAACCACACACACACACACACAGAAGCCTACAACTTGGCTGGCAAGGAAGCATCCAGCAGCCAGAGTGAGGCCCATGGCAGAGAGCTCCACTAGCTCCGCAACGCACACCAGGAAATACCATCTCTGCATTCCTCTGACTCTGCATAGGATGTCCGTAATTCCCCAAGTCTGGAGATGTATGGATTTCCCCATTAGATTGTGCCTTCCAACACTTTTCCCAAGGGATATGCTCCACTCCACTCCCCTGACAATCTTCCCTTCAGTTCCCACCTATTTCATGTGCTTTGCATGGACGATCCAAATCCCAGCTTGTGTTTTTAAATATTGCCTGTTACTAAAAAATTATTATTGTTATCACTGTTAATATAATCCCATGTTCAACACATTGTCCCGTCTGATTGCCCACATGTTGCCAATGATCTGAGGCATTTCGTGCTGCTCCTCTGCCAAATGGTTCCCAGGGACCAGCTTTAAACAAAATAACAGTTGCCAGTAGGGCTTCAGTCTGAAAAGGCACAGCACCCAAGGAAAAAGAAAGGGAGAGGAACGAAGGGAAAGGTTAGCTCTTTTTAGCCAAGCTGGTGGCATAGCCCTCTTCTGCCTCGCTTCTCCCCCAGCCCAGCCCGCTAGAATGCTAAGCAGAGCTGCGTAAGGGAAAAAATGAGCAAATTAAACGTGGTGTCAGATATTTACTGATTTAGTATATTTATGGCTTTTATCGCTCCCCTGCCCTGCTTGCTTCCTGGAATTTTATGGGTGGGGAGGAGTCTTCAGGTGATGTCATTCTCAACTCTTAACTCATTTTTGCCGTTGTTGTTTTCCCTGTGTAAAATCTATGAGTGAGAAATACGAGTAGCTGCTATTGTAAGCTGCCCCAAGTCGTTTGTAGGGGACGGGATAGAAAAGCTTTTAATAAACAAAATAAAATAAATAAAATTCATAGATAACTGACAATGCTAAGGGCCCTTCATCAGGAAGCGCCTTCTCTCTCTGTCCACCACCGCCCTGCTGCGTACCAGGAGTAAAGCTGGAGTAAATCTGGAGGGGGGCTGTTCAGCATCGTCTTGCTCAGTATCATTGATTTTACATTGAACTGGACTTGACGGTACCCTCTCTGTTTGTGAGCCTCTATGTAATGCCACCTCCAAGCTGCAGCTGCCCAGAAAAGCAGCTGCATCAGGGAGGATCACAGTCCATCAAATCTGCCTGTGAAATCACAAAGTGCCAACCACAGAGAACGCATCAGCAATCACAGCCATTTTTGATGCCATGTGCAATATTCCTTGAACCTCAAGGCCTCGTTCAATAAGCAGAATGAGACATGTCAGCAAAGGTGGCAAATTTTGGCTTCCTTCCCCGAGCAGTGTCTGAGAGCATCCGCACACACTCCTCGGGAAGGCTGGCTCAATGTGCTCGGTAAAATGGCTTTGCTTCAAGCGCACTTCCATGTTGAAGGCATGGGTGGGTGCTCTTCATGCGCGTGGGAAGCAGCTGATCTCAGCAGCCTCGGCTTTCCACCTGTGGCGCAGTTTACAAAGACCTCACTGGGGTGTGCCAAAGGGATGCCAGGGTTCAGTGAGCCAGTTGGGCCGGGCCCATCCATCTTGCTCTTTCATTGCGGGAAAGTTGAGTCCATCCACAGAGCCTTTTGGCTTCAAAGCCTCTCAGAGATCCTTCCAGGAAATGAGGCAGAGAGAAATCCCCTGCTCTGTTGTAATAACAATCCATGGTTTTCCCCATCTGCGTCCTTCCTTCTCTCCCTCCACCTCATGTCCTGCTTTCATTCTCTATTCTCATTAGGTGTGTCTGCCTCTTGCAGGAGTCCCTTGTACAGCAGGGTGGCCAGTGCACAAGCAGAAATCTCAGTCTGTCTCAATTGCCCAGCACTTAGCACAGACACTCTAGAACGTCCTCAAGGGGACAGGAAACCTTGTGGGAGATTGTGCTCCTATAGACGATGGCTGCCCCCCCTCCCCAACCCTCAGAACCAGGCTGGTGCTGCGCCAAATAGCTGGGTGGGCACAACTGGGAGAGAATGACTTTTCCCTTCTCCCCCACCCAGGTTTCCATGATACAGGCCAGGTCGGCCCCCTCATCCACAAATCATGGATAGTTGAAATTTTATTCTGGACCAACCTGGCATTTAAAAGCAGCATCGCCAAGCTAGAGGGGCAGGCTGGTACAGTTGCCTGGACTCTTCCAGATGGGGAAAGAACCAGAAGAGGAGCAATAGTTAAATATCTTTCTCCTTTTTGGGCTCGTTAATCCACTGGCATCCTATCTCCCCTGACTCATGACCACACTAACAAAACACCTAATCAAGTTTTGCCCTTCTTTTCCATTGCATTTTAAATATATTGTAGTATGTTGTAAGCCACCTTAAGTAGGTTGCAGAAATGCTATGAATCAACCGGTACGATGGAGCCAAAGGGAGCTGGCAGGAGCTTGAACTAGGGAAATCCACAGAATGCAGACAAGGAGGAAAATGCATTCAGGTGTGTCTGACAGATTTTCTTTGCCTGTGTGCTCCTGCCCAGTTCTCTCCTTGTTGCTGTTCTTCGGCGCGCTGCAAAGCTGCACTGGCGAAGAGGTCAGCCCACTGGAGAAGTGCTTCAAGGACGCCAATTATGAAGAGTTTCTGCAGATAGCCAGGAATGGGCTGAGCAAGACATCCCAGCCGAAACATGTCGTGATCGTGGGCGCTGGGGTGTCGGGGCTCAGCGCAGCCTACACCCTCGTGGAGGCTGGGCACAAGGTAACGAGCTGACGCATCTGTCTGATCGTATCTCTTGGGGAAAAGGAAAAAAAAAAAAAAAAGAATGAGGCATACGCTTCCTTGAAAGAGCCAGTTCCAGCAGCGACTGCCCAGGAGTGGCCAGCTCTGCAGATGACAGGGCCCTCCACTGCTTTTGTTCTGTGTGCTGCCTCCCTTTCCACTTCTGCTGTGCCAGCAGCAACAGGGCCAAGCCAAAGTGAGCGGAAATGCTTGTCTTTGGAGCTGGGCAGCTGGCGGTGCTCCCATGTAGGAACTCTGTCAACCTGCTGCATTCTAGCAAGTAGCATTTGTGCTAGTTCAAGAGGAGGAACAGTAAATCTCTATCAAGTAAATGGTGGCTACCTAATGCTCTCAGCTCTTACTGCCATGATCTGCTGCACCCCAGTTTGAGTGTCCCCACTCCCCAGTATATGTCACATTGTGCCTGGCTCGTGTCAGCATTCACACAACTGCCACACAACCATGTACTCGTATTATTGGCCTTTTTTGACAGTGGAATTCCTGTTGGAGGCTCAGAGTTGGAATATGACCAGCTATATGGGTAGGGGAGCTGAGCCAAAATGAAAGTCCTAAGGAGCCGATGGAAGGGAAGGGAAGGGATATTTAGGAATGAGTCAATATCTATGTCTGATATATTATTGATAGTATGAGGAAGACACTCCTTCTAATACAGCATTTCTTAAAACTTTGATTGCTATTGAACAACGGGACTGGTTCAGGCATCCAACTTCCTTCTTTGCCAAGAGTGCCAGCCAAGTGAGGACTTGCATGGGCTGTCACTCCTCCCCACATCACCTCAGATGCAAAATCAGTAGGTGTCTCCCCAGCTTTTGTGCAGTTTTCTAAAATGTTCTTGATTACTGGCAGTAAGAATTTTAAGTTACAACATGATAGCATTTTGTTTATTTTTCCTCGCCCCTTTTACCCCCACACTAGAATGTATCTTTATTTTTTTTTACCCCACATCAACAAAAAACTAGGAATTATCATATCTGGGGTCATTCAGTGCTGCCTGTGAAAGTCCTTTGTCCCAGCAAATATTTCCTCAGGAACCTTCACTCAACAGAAGAATAACTTTCATCTCTCAGCAAGAGCAGGTGATTTAAGGATTAGTCCTTCCTGAGACCATGCAGAACAAGATCTGCCCTGGGCATCTCCTGGTTTATAAGGAAAAAACATACAAGGCAGGATGCTGAAATGTGACCACTTTTTAGATTAGGCTCACTGCAACAATGTCTTAAGAAGGACAAATCGGTAGGACTATTTACGTGTCAATTACAGTACAGAATGTGAATTGGAGGGTTCCAGTTACCCCATGATATGGAATGATCCATGTGCAAGAAATATTTTGCACCATGTGGCATCCTGTGCTGGACTCCACCCCCCATTTGGAGCTTCACACGTAGTCTAAGAAAGGGGAGCCCATCAGATGTCATGCAAAGACATCCACCCCTTAGAAGCCAACCTTGCGAAAGCAAAGGACCTGAGCCAGCAAAGACACCTTCAGACACCAAATATATCACCGTAAGAAGGCTGCCCTCCCACCTGCTTCCAGGTTAAGAAATTCCTGTTCAGAACAAGCCATTCGAGGAGGGATCAGTGTAACTGTGGTGCAGCGGTGACTCTGTTTGTCTCCAGGTGACTGTCCTTGAAGTGAGCGAGCGCGTGGGAGGACGGGCACAGACCTTTCGCAATGAGGAAGAAGGCTGGTATGCAAATCTGGGACCCATGCGCTTGCCTGAGGGCCACAGGTAAGACGCGATGGCTATGTGCTTATCTGATTATATCCACGCACAGCACTTCTCTTGCCCATGGATTGCTGCGCTTTAGCAACTGAGGCATTGTGCACTGCAGTACATCACACTGAGACAAAGGCAGGAGAGACCTCGGGCTCTCGCCTGTCCTTTGGATTCTGTACTTGCTGGGTCTTAAGGAAGTGCATACCAGAGAGTTCTTTGACATGTCCCAAAGGCTTTGGCCCACCAGCCTGCAATGAACAAGTGAAGAGAACAAGACAACGCTGATGGGAGAAGGCAGAGCTTGCTAAACGAGTCCTCATTGGGTTGGATCCAAATGCAGTTAGCGGAGCTCTGGTCCCACTGGAAACAACGGAACTTATTAAGTCATAACTAGGTCATCCCACTGAGTTCACTAAGATAAGGCCTAGAGACCTTTGCTAATCTTCCTCAAATGTTTTGCTGTTTTGCATGATTGCCACTGTTAGATTTCTCCATTGTTTTCAATGAGCACCTATCTTTTCCACCCTTAAGGAGCAGGGGGAAGGTATCTACTGAAAATATTTTTCTTTCTCTGTATAAAACATTGTGTCTTTGTCCTATACAGATTAGCAGAGCAGAACAGGAGTAGACAGCCTTCAGAAGTGTTAGACTGCAGCTTCCATGTTCCCTGATCCTAGGCCATGCTGGCAGGGACTTATGGGAATTCTAGTCCATAATGCCTGGCACCAGGTTGCCTACTGGAGTGGAGTTTGCCTACAAACAGTTGCAACCTGGACCTCCTTGTGACACTCAGGTTTTATCTTTTCTACTGTGTCACTCACACTGCTTCCCTAATACCTGTGCTTTCCCTCTTCTTTCCCCAGGATCGTCCATGAATATATTAAAAAATTTGGCCTACAGCTGGCAGAATTCATACAGAAAGATGAAAATGCCTGGATTTTGGTTAACAACATCAGGAAAAGGGTCTGGGAGGTCCAGCAGAACCCCAGCATCTTGGGTTATGAAGTGAAGCCCTCAGAAGAAGGCAAAACTGCTCAGCAGCTCTATCGTGATGCTCTCAGAAAGGTTCAAACACCCTCTGTGGCTATTTTATTGGAAAAATCTAATCCAACTATAGGACCAGATGAGGCAGAAGGAGCCAAAAGTCAAGCTAGTGCAGATGCCCATGGACTAGCCTCTCCGTAGTTCTCTACAAACCAGCTCCTCAGGTGGGACCAGGCTGGCCATCAGCAGGTGGCATCCTCAGGGAGCTGCCAGGACCTCCGTGCCCCGGCAGCCCCTCTGCTGTGACCACCTTCGAGGAGCCACTGTTTGCTTGCTTTTCCAAACATTCACGAAGGCATGAATTTGGGAGCCCCCATTTCAATTTCTGAGTATGCAACAGAGCAGTTCTGTCTCAGGAGCACTGTGGGAAATTAGTAAGTCCTCTCTCAAGATGGGAAGCTCCTTGCAGCTGTCCACTGCCAGCAAGTAAGGCCCACTGACTTGAGGTGGAGACACCCGAGGACTCCCTTCCTCCTGGTGTTAGCCCTGTTAGGGATGGCAGTAGGATCTCTGCTTAGGGCACTGTAGGGTGAGGTGGTTGGTTCCCGAAATGGCAGCCCAGCATGTGCTGCTGGCATGACCAGGGAAAGGGCAGGGTTATTTCCATGAGTTTCTTCAGCCTTGGATCCATGGACCATATCATGGAATCCATCTTCAGAAGAGAGGAACCTTAAGAGGAAAGGGATCCATAGTATGATATTGCTCAGTAAAACAGTGGTGGAGATGATGAGAGCAACATGATATATCCAGCTCCCATGCTGAAGACCCAGTGGTGGCATCAGGGGAAAGGAGAGGAAAGCAAGTTATCTCATGTCCATCTCTGGAGTCCTCCTCAAACTTGCACATGAAAAAATATCACTTGTTGGAAGAAAGGAGTAACTAGATGTCCATCTTCCATGACCTCCATTGTTCCATCGATGAAAGATTATAACACTGGGCTTCCTTCTCCTTTAGTCTCCAAGTTTTAGGGGGATGCAGATTTAGGGATGTAGCCTCTAACTGCTCTACTTCTGGCTTTTTGATCAGCTACACCAGTACTTTTTAAGGAAAATCTATTAGTAAATAAAACTCCTGAAGATTAAGTAGGTATGACTACATTCCTGTCAGCAGCCAAGAATTCCAGAAAGCAAGTGGTGAAATGACTATTTGATTTGATTGTCACGAGAATAGTCTTTGGGCAGCTTTTATGGGTTGCACAGTGATGGCAGCTTCATTCAACTATTTTGTCTATAGTGTTTATAATCCTTGCTCAGAGACAGCAATAACAAATCCATCAGTCAATCAGTATGGTCCCTGTTTCATCTTCCCCTTTATTTGCATCTTTGGATTGTTTGTGTTTATGTCTTGATGCTGTGGGTTCTTAACTAGATACTTCCCCAGTCTGCTACTGTTTTTATTCTGATTTCTTTTCTCTTGATGTCATTCCAGGTTGCAGCAGAGGTGAATAACACAAACTGTACCTACGTATTAAATAAATATGACACCTTCTCAACCAAGGTAAAAGGAATATTGCCATGTGCCCAATTTGTGAAGTGCAAAAATGTATTGCATTTAAAGTTCATCGATACATACTTGTGATTATTAAAATATAAAACAAGCAAACACCTTCACTAAAGATTCTGTCCAAAACCCAGCAAACTTAGAGGAACCCAGTTTGCACGTGAGGGCTGACTATGGGCTAAACAACTGATACTTAGCTGTAGCCGTGGTGGAGCAAAGAAGCGCATTGCCTCTGTGAAACCCAGTCCTCTTTCTCGGTTACGTCATTCCTGGGGGTGGTCGTTGTCATAATGTACAAACCTTCAGCATCCTGGAATTTTAATTCAACAATTAACCAAGAATTTTTAGTGCATGTTAAAAAAAATTCACTCAAGCTTTCCCAGATTTTTTGTTGACTGAGTATAGCAATTATAGTAACTCTCTGGGGAAGGTTAACGGGATTAATTAGAGTGTTTGTGTGTGTGTGTTTGCTGTTTGTTTGTTTTTTGACAGGGACATAAGCACTCCGGTTTAAAATGCAGCCTGCATTTTGACTGCTGTCAGAACTTTGCACTTTGGTAATCAGGGTGTTTCACATTACACTGGAGGTCCAGTTTTACTGAAATCATTATAGCTGTTTAAATTGTTCTACATTTTGTATATTGGAATTTTATTTATTTATTTATTTATTTATTACATACATTTATACCCCATCCTACTACTTCAAGCGCTTAGGACGGCTTACAAGATATTTATACCAGATTGTATAGCATTTGTATTTTATTGTTACCTCTTTTTATAATTGTACATATTTTATAAATTGCTGTGAGCTGCCCAGAGTGCACTGCTAAGCACGGAAGTCACAGCCTGGAAATGTGACCGCTGCCAACTCAGATGGCTTTAGAAGGAGATTTGACAAATTCATGGAGCATAAGGCCTTCGGTGGCTCCTAGTCCTGATGGTCATTTATTTATTATTTATAGCATTTTTATGCCACCCCCATCGCAGAAAGCCTCGGGGCAGCTTACAAAGAAGATAAACAACATAAAATGACATTAAAAATTTAGAGCATCTCGGCAGTAGTTTAAAACCAACAAATAAAAACAACAATTAACAATTAAAATATGGTTTAAATAAAAAGGTCTTGGCCTGATGCCAAAAAACAGGTAACGACGGCGCCAGGCAGACCTTTCTGGGGAGCACATCCCATAGGTGAGGCACCAGCACAGAGAAGGCCCTCCTCCGGGTACTCACCCTCCTAATATCCTTCACAGAGGGCTCCCGGAGAAGGCCCTCCTCCGCCGATCTCAGGGGGCAGGAGGGCATATATGGACGCAAGCGCTCCTTTAGATAACCAGGTCCCAAGCCATTCAGGGCTTTATAGGTGATAACCAGCACCTTGAATTGGGCCCGGACTTCAATGGGGAGCCAGTGAAGCTGACAGAGGACTGGGGTTATATAAGAACAATGCCCAGTCCCCGTCAGCAACCTGGCAGCTCTGTTTTGCACCAATTGAAGTATCCGGACCATCTTCAAGGGCAGCCCCACGTAGAGCGCATTGCAGAAGTCTAATCGGGAAGTTACCAATGCATGTGTCACAGTTGCCAGGCAGTTGTTTTCCAGGTAGGGACACAGCTGATGGATCAGCCGGAGCTGGAGGAAAGCGCTCCTCACCACCACTGTTACTTGAGCTTCTAATGACCACCGCTGTTACTTGAGCTTCTAATGACAGCTCTGGGTCGAGGAGCACTCCCAAGCTGCGAACCCTGTCCCTAAGAGGGAGTGCAACCCCGTTCAGGACAAGGTCCAGGTCCCCCATCCCGAAGCCTGACCCACCTACCAACAGGACCTCGTCTGGATTGAGCTTCAGTTTATTGGCCCTCATCCAGCCCATTACCTCGGCCAGGCACCGGTTCAGTACAGCCACCGCCTCACCTGGATTAGTTGAGAATGAGAGGTAGAGCTGGGTATCAGCATACTGATGATTCCACAGCCCACACCTCCTAATGTCCGGTTTCATGTAGATGTTGAATAGCAAGGGGGACAGAAGGGTCCCCTGTGGAACTCCATGGCATAAATGCCATGGCGCAGAGTCATAGTCCCCCAGCACCACCTTCTGGAATCAGCCATTGAGATAGGAGTGGAACCACTGCAAAGCAGTGCCTCCAACTCCCAATCCCACAAGCCTATCCAGAAGGACACCATGGTCGATGGGATCGAAAGCCACCGAGAGGTCCAGGAGAACCAACAGGGACACACTCCCCCTGTCCTTCTCCCTGCACAGGTCATCATACAGGGCGACCAAGGCAGATTCAGTACCGTACCCGGGTCTGAAGCTGGACTGAAATGGGTCCAGATAATCAGTTTCATCCAAGAGTGCTTGGAGTTGTCCCGCCACCACCCGCTCTAACACCTTGCCCAAGAATGGGATGTTGGCCACCGGTCTATAATTGGTGGCCACCTCTGGATCCAGGGATGCCTTCTTTAGGACTGGCCATACTACTGCCTCCTTTAAAGGGGCAGGTACCCAGCCGTCCCTTAGAGAGGCATTGACAACCTCCAGGATCCAGGTCCCAATCCCGTCCTTGGCTTTCTTGAGTAGCCAAGATGGGCAAGGGTCCAGTAAGCAGGTGGTAGGACGTACTTGTCCAAGCACCTTGTCCACATCATCAGGCCGCAACAACTGAAACTCATCCATCAATTGTGGACCAGACAGCAACATTGGCACCTCCCCAGTAGAATCTGATTCACGAGTAGAGTCCAGCTCACGACAAATCTGATTTTCTCCCTGAAATGCTTGGCGAAGTCATCACAGTGGGCCTTCGAGGGTGGCACGAGATCTTTCGTTATGGGTTACACCCACCCAGTGTTAGTCCATTTAGAGTAACCCCGTGGAAATGAAGGGGACAAGTTCATTATGGTCTTGGTGGCTGGGAATGATGAGAACGGTATCCAACAGGTCTAGAGGGCTCTTGGCTGCAAAGGGCTGACCAGATGCCAAGTACCACAACCATTTCGTAAATTCACTAAATTGGCTTGCATGTACCATTTAGCTCAGCATTGTACTGAAAAGATAGTTTGGGACTCTTTCTCCCCCAACAGCAATATTTAATCAAGGTGGCAAACCTGAGCCGTGGAGCTGTCCGAATGATTGGGGATTTATTAAATGAAGAAGCTGGGTATTACCTGTCTTTCATTGAGAGCATGAGGGGGGATGCAATCTTCTCTTATACAAAGAGGTAAGCAAACAGGTATGGCCAGGGGAATTAGTTTGCTGGTGTGGCCCTCTGATGTCAAGGGGAACAGCTTCCAAAAAATGCGAAAGGGCTCACCTGACACCACCTTGAGGGGAGGTTAAAGCAGGACTCCCTCTCTCCCTCCTAAAAAAGAGACAAGAAGTCTCATTCTCATGAAGTCACTGAAGAAAGGGGCTGAGAATGGCACTTCTATCAACCCTGTACTTGGCTCATTAAGCAGACGGAGCACTGGAAAGGGGCCACCTTCTCCACTTGGCAGGACTCCATCATTTCAAGGAATGTTCCAGCTCCAAGGTCGCCAGTCATCATATCATACCAAGAGTGCATACTAGTTCTTTCTGGTTTTTTAAGCAAGAATAATATCTGAGGAGCCCTATCTGTCCCATTATTTCTACCTGTGAGCTTGTTTCTGTCTTGCAGGTTTTATGAAATTGTTGGAGGTTTTGATCAGCTGCCAAGAGCCATCTATAGAACCATTCCAGAAAACGTGTATTTCAATACTAGGGTAGTCAAGATACAGCAGGACAGCAACTCGGTCCGTGTGATCTTTCGTACACCAGACGACGTGCTGTCGGCTATAACAGCCGATTATGCTATTGTGACGTCCACAGCAAGGGCCACACGGCGAATCCATTTTGAACCACCTCTCTCACCCAACAAAATACACGCCTTGCGAGTTATCCACTACCGGAGCGCCACCAAGGTTTTCCTGGCTTGCACCGAGAAGTTCTGGCAAGCTGAGGGCATTTTTGGTGGGGCCTCCACCACTGACCGTCCATCGCGATTCATCTACTACCTGGCCCAGAACTTCACTAGTGGTTTTGGCGTCCTCTTGGCTTCCTACGTCCAAAGTGACGACTCGCGTTTCTTTGTATCCCTCAGCCACGACGACGTTGTTGATATCATTATGGATGACTTGTCAGCCATTCACCAGCTGCCCAAAAGTGAGATCCAGCGTCTCTGTCGCTCCTCAGTAATAAAACAGTGGAGCCTGGATAAGTACGCCATGTGTGGATTTGCTTCCTTCACACCCTACCAGTTTAGAGATTATAGCGAAGAACTCGCAATGCCAGAAGGCAGAATCCACTTTGCTGGGGAACACACCGCTAAGCTCCACGGTTGGCTGGACACCACGATCAAATCGGGGCTGAGGGCAGCAAGGGACATAAACCTCGACGCAGGGCAGCAGCAGTCGGGAAGCAAACCAAGTGACAGAGATGAGCTCTGAAGAGGAGCTTTGTGGAAAGAGAAGAGCCAGCTAAAGGTGCATCTAAACACTAGAGCTTCAGCTCAGGACAAGTCAAAGCAACTTGGCAGCTGTGACTTTAACTTAAAACCGAAATGTCATGAATTCAGAACAGCTAAGAAACTTGAGATACTTTTAAGTTTCATACACAGGGCAGATAAAATACTAGGATGAAGGGTTTGGCAGGGTGTCATTGCTTTATTTGTGTTTGTTATTCCTATTCACTTCTTGGATGGATTCCCCTGCAGCCTTACATTCTTGTGCAGTCAGTTAAACCTACTGTATTAATTCTGTGGCGCTTCTGTACCTATTATTTTATCCCAATAAACCAGAAGTTTTGTCTCTGCTTCAAAATCTTGAGTCTGTGGTCCTTGTTTCAACTTACCAGGATGCCAATTCAAACCAGAACAGAAGTTTCTAGTTCTTTCCTTGAAAAGTGTTGTGAGTAAACATCTCATGCTTCCGTGAGGATGCGCCACCAGACAGACTTTAGTCTGCTGCATATAACAGCAATGCCCATTTCCATATTCCTATTTGTAGCCTGAAGCATTACGTTTTACTTTAATACTTTCTTTAAATATGTAATATTTTTGTTTCGTGATTTGGTTTGTAGCCTACCTCAAAGGCCTCATGCATGGACGACATCCTATAAATAGTATATTAAATAAGTGTGTTGAACAAAAACAAGTTTGGGACAGAAAAAGTACTGATGCATCGTGAAAGGACAGGTCTACTCTTTAGGGGCATGCCTGGAGTTGCAGGCCTGTTTTTCTGTCCACTCTTGCATAGGATCTTGCTTTAAATTATATGCATGGCTACTCAGAAGTTAGCCTCAGTGCAACAGCCTTCATACTTGTAAAGCAGAGCTCCCTTGTATGCTGAGTATTTAAATACCTGTGAAAAGCCTCTTATCTCTGTTCACTCATCACTGATGGCTAACTGGAGAGAAGACAGCTTGCTGGACCGGATAGGGTGCTAAGGGGGGCTGTGTGAAGGAGAAGGTACAGAAGATTGGCACGGGATCTATCTGTAATCCTTTCTAAAGCAGGTAAACCAACAGGTACCATACCAGAAAGTCCAGAACTGCTAAGACCAGGACTTGGAAAAGGATGTTGATGATATTAATAAATCTGGCATTTTCAATTATGATCTTCTTTGGGATAATGAGGACAACTGGATTGGAGAAGAATGAATGTGGAAGGTTAAAATTATAAAACTTAGAATGAAGAATCTTTATTGCTCAGAAGAACTCAATGGATGACTCAAAAGACTAAAATGTACTAGTACATCTGTTTTTAGCATCCACCTTGCTGAAATACTAAAGGAAAACAACACAAGCATTCTCTGCATCATCTATTGTTACCCTCTTGCTAAGGATAGTGTAAAAAATCTTAACATACTACTAATATAAATGAATGGAAAGACACCCTCAACATATGAATTTCAGAACTGAACTCTCCAAGTCTCACACATCGGAACTTTTTGAAATCTTGAAAATGAGATTTCAAGTGGGATATAGCGATTGCATATTTGAAAAGTTTTCAGGTTTTGATAAGCTGATACAAGGATTTGAGGAAATGATGGATAAGTAACAGAATGCTTTAGAAGCACCTTTTCAGGTTGTTTTGAGTGTTCTTTAGGTTTGGGGAAATTATCTTCTGAAGTCATTCTTACTAGATATTTTTAGTGTTTCCTAGTTCATTGCTTTATTCCCAAATTAATTCCAGCAGATTTTTTTTTAATCATGAGATGGTTTTTATCCAGAGATGCCCTTACTAGGGGATGACGAGTGAGAGCAAGCCCAGATGTGAACTCTTCTCCTAAGCCTACTAAGCAGTTACCTGTTGTGTGTTTGCTGCTACTGAAGGACTTAGTAAGTGAACTTTTTGTTTCTGTCTCACCAAAAAATATAAGTTCTTGGAATTAGACTCAGCATCTCAGTTTGCTTCTATCTCTTCTGCTCTTGGATGTAACCAACTTATCCAAAAGGGAGACCTTCTAACCCCCAGTTAACTCCCCTACCTTGCTTGGAAGAGAACCTCTGAGAATTCAAAATTTAGCCAGGATTTCCCAAAATATCTTTTATTGAATTGTATCAGTGTTCACTGCCATCTTACTGGGAAGACAATTGTGTCTCTTTTTCAAAAACATTTATTTCTAATAATTTTAACTATTTAGAAATGATTTGAGATATTTAGCCAGGAGGTTATTAATTTCATACTTGCCTTGAATGTATGTCAAAACAGCACTATGAATACACAACAAGCAATTCAGTTAAAAACTCCACTTTGTCTAATCAGAAGATATTAAGAACTCTAAACTTACATGTGGGTGCATGTGATTGCCAGAAAAGAATTACAACGAAGCTTGTGCATCAGCTGGAAGAAATCAACTTGTACTGCATATTACAATGTATATTCGAACCAAGCATTGCATCTTGAAAGACACTTCACTGATTTAGTGTTTCTGCAAGCTTTTCAACCTTATCTGGAAAGAGAGTATTTCTGTCCTTTGACCAATCAATAAACCCCGATATTAATAGAAATGCCCAAATGACTTGCTTCCTTCAAAGATTTTTCTAGAGTTTTCTCAGATGTTAGACCATTCATACCCAATAAAACAGATATTACAGACCCTAACATTTATTGCCTGGAGGGTTTGTGGGCTCTCCAACTGTAGAGCCATTCAAGAAGAACCTGGACTGTCATCTGAGTGGAATGGTGTGAACTGGCCTTCTTGGCCCCTTCCAGCTCTACAATTCTATGATGTGGGACTTGGAGGAATTAAACGACTGGTGGAATTTTGTTACCGCAAGGGATGGAACAGCCAGGCTAATCCTAATTAGAGATTTATGAAAATCTCTTTTGAAGGTGAAGCCTCAATAGATTGGGCTGGTCCTGCCCTGGTAGATTTCATTCTGATGGTGTCAACTCTATCTTTAGCAAGTTGATACAAAGCATAGATGCCTGTTTTTTCAGTGGTGGCAATTTATACAAACAGGATGGCTTGTGGTTGGGGTGGGGTGGGGTGGGGTGGGGTGTTTCTCCAATGGCTGCACCAATTAAGTCATATTTTTAAAAACCAGTCTTATGCAAGTGTGTACTTATGCAAGTTCACTTGTTCACTATGTAGCTTTGCATAGGTATATTCTAATCCTCTAAATATCATCATCAGTTTCATCCTCTGCACACACAGCTTCAGTTAGGGAAGCTGGGCTAGTGTGAAATATGGTTTGTGTAACTTGCCCACAAAAATAATTCAAAAAGGCCCCACTTGCACAAATTTAGAGACCCGGAGTGAAACGCCACTTGTGCAAATCACCAGACCTGACAAATGGAGGAGGGCATTGACACAGATATAATGGCTTGTGTGCATTATAGTATAGATTTCCAGAGCACTTCTTAATGGGACCTGAGACAGGGCTTCTTGCCAGCTACTCACCATATTAGATTTCCCCAAATCTGACACCTGAAGTTGGGCATTGCATTTATGGCAAGCTAGTTGAGCACCAACTTGGCTCGGGGAAACTTATCAGGATGGTGATGAGAGCTGGGAACTGCTGAAGCCAGTGGCAACACTTTTAAACGGGGGTTTGGTCAGCGCCCAGCTCCACCCTGCAGCTGATGCCCACCATCTTAAGTGAACCTAAATTCGTGCCATCAACACTAGGCCAGGCACTGCCTTTGAGGTCATCCAAAATGGCCAGCAACAGGCCCAGCCCTCCCACTCCAAAGATCTGTGGGGTTCACAGACCCAGGGCTGAGCCTGCAGCAGCTGTCCCACCATCCTGCCCCCCCCACCCACCTGATTCCAGGCCTGGGATATATTTACTTACTTACTTACGTAAAACTTTTGTAGACCATCCCATTACCGAAGTTTTTGGATGGTTTAACAATACAAAATGTAAGTAAAAAAATTAAAACACAGCATCCTAAAATTAGCTATTAATAAAACCCAATTAAAACAATCAGGTCTTAAAACACTGGGAAAATAAAAAGGTTTTGGCCTGGCACAGAAAAGAATAAAGTGACGGTGCCAGGAGAACCTACTCTGGGGAGCAAATTCCACAATTGGGGTGCCACTGCAGAGAAGGCCCTTCTCCGGGTAGCTCTCTCCTTTAGGGGAGATCAATTGCCTTCTTGTCTAATTTCCTGTTCCCTAGCCCTCCTAAATCAATGTAGGGCCGTCTCCTTGTTTATACCCTCTAAGGTTCTCAGCCACCATGGCTGATCTCAGTGCTGACCTGCACCTGCTGCTGAGAGGATTCATTGGTAGCGTTTGTTCTTGTCAATTTCATAGTGATTGCTAATTTCATTTCTATACCACCCCATAACCAAAGCTTCCTGGACGGTTTTGCTGCACGAGAAGCTGAGTATGATAAATGAGCTAGATAAGAATGTGACTTGACTCTTCAGAAAACCCGTTCTGTTCACTTTTACACTCTTGGGAGATTCTGTTGTTGCAGTGTTTTGCAACTTAACCAAACCCTGTGTTAGGAAGTTGTAACACATACTCACTCAGTTGAAGCATGGCTGTTTCCATTTCTGGTATTTGACTTTCAACATATTTCTATGTTGATGAGGGTGGAAGCAAGGAGAAAAATATGCACTGATGTGTTATCATACTGTAAACTGGCACAATGTGTGTGTGTGTGTGTGTGTGCGTGTTGCTATGTGCAGTCAAGTCACATCCAACTTATAGTGATTTCTGGCAAGAATGGAAATCAGTCTATGAATGAAAGGCCTCCAGAATATCCCATGTATGGCATCCATACTTACTGTTCTAAATTAAAAACTGTGGCTTCCTTTGCAAAGCCAATCCATATCTTGTTGGGTCTTCCTTTTCTTCTTCTGCCTTCAATTTTCCCCAGCCTATAGATCGATAGACATAAAGCTCAATCAATATGCAAATTGGATCCCTTGACAGCAGTGCATCTTGGGATCGCATTTAGGAACAAGAAAACCTTTTATTATACTGATGGA